GTTGAGCGCAATTACATAAGTTGAGCACCGCTATTAAGTTGAGCAGCTCAACCTATGTGTCGTGTAAAATGTATAATTAATCAGTTGTTTACGTTTGGGAGGACTTTAAAAAGTTTTGGAGCTTATTTTAAGATTCATTAAACATAATCCTAGTAAATAGTAATCACTCTCACCAGAACTTGCTGAGAGTAATTTTGAATCACGCGCCACTACCGTTAGCGACAGTAGCGCCATCGGCGAGGCGGGAATGGAAGGCGGGAGAACCGCGAGCGTACAAAGCAACAACATAACCTCAAAGACAATCGCGAATCGCCGGCTGCCAGAACAATAATAATCTCGCGATTACAAAATCTGTGATTACAAAGATGTGTTATGATTGTGTGTTATGATGTGTTGTGATTACAAAGATTAATAAATTTGTGTGTTGAATGTGTTGGGGTGTCCTGCCCGAGACATGTCCGGAAGAAGTGAAAAAATCCTGCGTGCCGCTCTTGGTAAGTGCACCTCTCTAAGTTTCTCCAGGTTATCTTACAGATTTATGGAGGATTTCTAACATTGTCAAGTTGCTATAGTCCAGCAAGCATAACCTTGATTTCAGTTGTACCCCTTTAACTTCATACTTTAAGCATTTGTCCTATGCTTAAACTGGGGCTCTCAAACTGCCACTGATTCTTCAATTTCTCAGCCATTTCTGCACGAAATTCCTTGAAAATCTCAAGATCTGATCAGTAATATGTCCCAATTACATCGGCTAGCTTCAAAGATCGTCAGCAAAGCCCCTGGTTTGTGCGTGGGCTGGACGCCTCAGGATCGAGATGGATTTTCTTGATAGCTGAGCTCCTACGGCTTGTTTCGGATGCATTCATGGGCAGAACTATCATGGGCAAATTTAGGTACTAAGCCCCTCTTAGAAGTCCTATGAATTATGCTAAATAAGTATGCAAACATACCTTTCATCTCTAAACTTTTAATGCAATCAATTTTTCGAAGAGAGCGGGCTAAAATATTCCACTGCGACAACTCATTCTTTTAGGATTTCCCTAGAGTGTAAGGGACAGCCTCCGAACCATTGTTAAAGCTGAGAGAATCCAACAAGAAGTCTTCTTTGGTTGGGTGTCTTTTCAGACTCCCTTGATGAGGTGCCTTTTTGCCCCCTCTGCCACAGATATTTCCTAGCGCCGCTCATGTATGCATACTTTTTTGTATAAGCGGGGATTATTGGGGATGTGTTATCAGAGGGAGCTGAGCCCCTTGAACTTGCATTAAATGCATACAGTTGATGTACTCCACGCCTAATAAGTCCATGCCCTTCAGAGTGTGACGGAAGATTTGCTGTCTAGCGTTCAGCATTTTTAAAGTACATAAATACCAGAAACAGAATAGTGGACTTTTTGTCCCACTCAAAAAGTACAAAAACTTATTTTTTGTGGACTCTATAAATAGCAACAGGCAGAAATGGGTGATAAGGGGGGACAGAGATCTCTGAGATTATTTCAGATGCATACTCGATAAAGTAGACTCATTCATCTTCTAACTTGAATTTTAAGCCGCCTCGAATGTGGAATAGGACGTAAAATTTAAAGATTTTCAATTGAGGGGCTTGGGCAACAAGACGCATAAGTGCAGTTTTTGAAAAAAATTGAGATTTTAATGAACTCAACTAAAATTAGTTAGAGGTAGAAAAATATTCTGTGAAAAATTCACAACTAAAATCCAACTTCAATGCATCAAAAAGTGAGCTTACATTTCCTCTGCCACAAGGCTCCATGTAATTTTGAAACTCCCAACGCGTATTCCTCGAAATAGCAAAAACTCCACTTATGCGCCTAATCCTCCAAACCCCTCAATGGACCACTAGACAAGGTACGAATTTAAGCAATCTGATACATGTCTCTTTACCAGAATTTCACGTAGTACTCGATTCGTGCTATGAAAATTACTGAAACCAACTCCTAACGAAGATATTAACGTTTTTATTTCACATTGGTTACGGGGAATTTGCACTGCCCGCTCACAAGAAACTGAAAGCTCTACTTGAGTCAAATCGCGCACAACAACGGTTTCAGCAAGCTTCTCAATTGAGCAATGTTCATTTCCCATCATGTGTTGTTCAAACCACAAGAAATTTGCTATAGCTGAGCCAAAACGTCAAGATTGAGGTTTTCAGATTTTTATATCGCAGAGACTATCACGATAAACGTTTAGCGCGCGATGTGAATCATGTAGAGCATTGAGTTTTCATGAGCGGGTGGTTTGAATTCACGCATCAAGAATCATTAAATATCTTCATAAGGAGTTGATTTCGGTAATTTTCGTGGCGCGCATCGTGTTCTACGTGAAATTTTGGTTGAGACATGTATCAGAATGCTAAAATTCGTACCTTGTCTAGTGGCCCATTATGAGACTTCCTTTCGCAAATTTACCTCAAAGTTTTGCCTTGATTTTTAAGGAATCAGTTTTCTCTAGTGATAATGACTATTGGGACTTGTTGTGTTCAATTTTTATTTTTTCTCTTTTCTAGGGGAGCGGTACATAACTCCGCAAAAGCGCATCCTCAAAGCCACGGAGGAGAACACCGAAGGTAATCTTTTTTATGCAAATAAAAAAAACCTAATTTAGTCTGCCACCTGGTCCTTTCATCATTGGCATCAAATGACAGCTGAGTCAATTAAGATACCTTATCAACTTTTAAAAGAGGAAATTCTTGGGCCAGATAATCAGATACAAGTGTCAACTTTCATCACTAAAAGTTCAGCCAAAACCAACAAGTTTATTTCTGACATTATGTAGTATCAAAAAAAATAATGTGTTGGAAGCATCAATTTTTCATATATTTTTCCTGAGAGACAATTTTTATCATCATACCTGAAGGAAGTTTGAAAGAATTATTAAATCTGGTTTGTTCCCTACTGTAGTAATTTATCGACTGCAAAACTGCAGGATTGCATATCTCACTTAAGTACAGTGTTGCATAAAATCCATTTCGTTTTTTTTCATTAAAGGAAAACAGATCAATGCTGTTACTTTAAAGTGTCAATAATTATTCTCCATTTGGAGCGGTAAAATCATAGTAACTTTCGAGACACGACATCAAGTTTAGTTTCATTCATAAAATAAAGTATGTCATGAAGTCTTCATTATCTTTAACCCAAATACGTACTCCTGCAGTTACACTGTCGCCATAGGCTTTCAAACTCAGGGCATATTTTCTTAAAAAATTTTACAAGAACTATTAGAAAAGTTCAAAATAATTTTTTTGCTCCTCTCTTCTCTAAAATATTTATCGGTCTCACTGCTTTTAGTGATTAAAGTAACAGATTTGTTATTTTTCATTATATGTTGGTTTCAGTTGTTCCAGCAAAGAAAAGCCCGCCGAGACCGGCCGACATCGCTCACGCAGTTTCAAGGCATATTTTGAGTGATGTAAGTACTTAAATGTTTCTCTTCTAAAGTACAAATCAAATCAAGTACAAACAAAATTCAAAATTACCCTTTAAGAAAAATAGAGAATAGAGAAATAATCAATAAAGAATAAAAAAGCACCAGGAAGCCATACTGTCAGCTCTCAGAGAATCAAGCCTCATAGAAATGCCCTTGGGATGGCATTTCATTCAACATGGCTCATAAATGAAGAAAGTGTTGATTGATTGTGAGAAACAGTCACGCACCTACTTAAGAACTCCTCCCACAAAGGTCAGGAAATGTCAGCAAGATCTCATGTGGAACTCTTAATTTTCATAACCTATCAATTTTTCAATGATTCCTATCGCTTCTATGGGCTCCATTGATAGATTGTCACCTTCCAGCAAAAGTATCTCAAAATTCAAATGAGATATCTTAAAATTCCTGCCGCCATTTTATTTTTTTACTTTGTTTAAGAAAGTGGTCTGAAAATTTCACTGAATTTTCTTTGTGCTGCCAATAAAATTCAGTGAAATTTTCAAACATATTCAACCTACAATTGAGGAGCTTTCCGGAAAAAGGGCACATAGCAAAAAATAGCGTTTGAGAAAAATGCATTTTAAGTTTCCATCATTAATTTCTGGCCACTGGTGGTACTTTTCATCGCAGCTTGGACTCCCAATTTCGAACGAAAGTCACTGTCAGTGGCCGTAGAGTAATGATCAAAACTTCAAATACATTTCTCTCAAACGCAATTTTTTGCTATGTGCCCTTTTTCCGGAAAGCTCCTCAATTTCTCTGTAAAGAAATAAAGTGTCTGCGGAAATTTTGAAATGCTGCATGACTTTTGTGATACTTTGGCCAGATGGTGACAAGATCTCGATTTTTTGCACCCTACTACTAGATACTAAAAAGACCGCTGTTGTCTGTTGAGAATTTTGACAAAATACTAATTAAAGTTTTCTTCGGTTTTCAGGTAACTAACAACAATTTAGAACCGATTAATAAATTCTGTAATGCGCCACTGCCACAAGGGGTCAATAAATTCTGTAATGCGCCACTGCCACAAGGAGTCAATAAATTCTGTAATGCGCCACTGCCACAAGGAGTCAATCATTTACCATCACCAGGTGAGATAATTTTCTTCATATTGTACTGAAATCCATTTGCTAAGGCAGCACTCCTTGAGACCAGCTCACAAATACATGTTTTCTTTTCAAAATTTCATGTAAGATACTATGGGTACTTCGCACTTTCCAAATTCAACCAATAAATGAGACAGTAAATGTTCTTGTCTTCGGTAATTCACACTTTTTGCTGCAAAAAAAAAATTAATAAAAAAACAAATTTACTCCAGTTAACTCAAGCAATCAAATTATTTCAGTACATTTTATAATGCCAGAATTTGCGTTTGTGCTACCTTTTTCTGATAAGATGAAAGGTACCTTGTATCAGAAGAAGGAAATGTGTATGAAACCAAGATCAGTTATTTACAATTTTGCCCGATTTAGCAATTTATCCCTACAAAAAAAAAAAAAAAAAAAAAAAAAAAAAAAAAAAAAAAAAAAAAAAAAAAAAAAAAAAAAAAAAAGTCCAAGAAATTGAGCAGCCAGTGAGAAATTGTTATTTTACCATTAATATTATTTTTAATTTTTTGCAGGCAATGGGGGAAATAGCAATTCCAATTTAAGGCAGGAACATGAGACATCGCAGAGTGCAAGGAAGGAATTGTTCAGTGATCCATATCTTTATCCAGGTAAAGTATATCATAACTCTCTCAGTGCCCCATCAGGCCCTACTTTGACTCTTGATTTCTTAAAGGATAACTTTTTTTTACGAACTTGTTTTGTTTTAGTTGATTTATAACATGTTTAACAAAAAAACTCAGCAAGTAAGTATGATTGATGCTCCCTCTGGATGTGATGCCCAGTGATCACTTTCTGCTAATTTACAAGTTAAAACCATCAAAACCGTGTCTGTGACTGGTGCAACTGACCCATTGAGGTTTAGAAATGAATTTTAATTTCTTTTCAAAATTGAATTTCTCCTTCAATGTAATAGATTTTTATTTTGTTCTCCCTTTTTACAGATGACAGTAGTAGTAACATCTCGCAGCCGATCCCATACGTGAGCAGACTGTCGGAATTAGAAGTGGAGATAATTGACGAAAACGGCGTTGATTATCAAATCCAATCTCAAGAGAACGCAGAAAATGAAATAGCAAACACCAATGGGATTGCGGTTGATAGCACTGACTTGTCAAGTTAGTATAAAGCCTACCCATCTTTTATTCACAGAAAATATTTTTGGGGTTGTTACCTTTTGTGGCCAGCAATTTTATTTCTTTTGCTCTAGGTAGTTTTTCTTCTCTCTTTGTCTCAAAATCTCTGTAGAAGGGGAATAATAATGAAAACAAATCAAGATAATTTAATTCCAAAAAATGAATCAATCGGAAAAATTATCTTGAGACAATTCTGTATTTTTTTCATAAAATTTTTGGCCTAATCTTTTGCCATGCCTTGTTATGGTAGTTTTTCATCTTGCAGAAGAGAACCATAAGATAAAGATGGCTGGATCACTGCGAATGTCTCAACAAGTTTCATATAAACTTATTGGCTGTTCCATAAAAGACAATTGCCCGGAAGTGAACAGACTTCTTCCCGAACAATGTCTGGTTCCTCTTTCTATGATGAATCCAAGAAGCTTATTCAGTAATGTTTAAGTCCTGCATTTTTGAAAACAGGAGAGTGTACTTATTCCACAGGAATTTTCTCTAATTTTTTTTGAACAATATTAACCGACTATAAATGAGCTCAAAGTTGCGTATTTTTAATGAAAGGCTGTATTATTAAAGTTTTGCTTTTTTCCTCAGATGACAGTCTCAGTATGAAGGTAGATGCTTTAGCTGAGGCCAGGGACCTCATTAAATACATAAACAATAAAGAAATGAGTCAAATGGCCGCTATTTTTGATGAGAGTAGAAAATTTTCCGATGAGGATCTAGAGGATTTGCAGAATAAGCAGAATAAGCTTGATGGACTTCTCGATATTCTTCTCACAAAAGAAGAACAAGAAAATTGCGAGTCTGTGGTGAAGGCTATCGTAGACAATGTACCAAAACGTAAGTTTGTCTCTTACTTTTTACAAATTTTCTAAGTTTAAGGGGCAGCTGAGAGGCTTATGGTCCTCGAAATCTATTTAAATGTACATTCGCTCCTGAGTCCTTCGAGAGCCGAAAAAAGTGGTAATAAATTCCCTCTCTCAATACTTTCATGAATTGACCTCCAAAGGATTTGATAATGAAGTAACTGCAGTTTGAGCTTTCCCCTTTCTTTTTGTTATACTGCCGTGTAACCGTTAAAAAAAAAAAAAAAAAAAAAAAAAAAAAAAAAAAAAAAAAAATTAATTATATAATGCTCACTAAAAATTTGTTCTCTGAAATTTATATCTCAAGTTCTAACTGTTACCTGATTTTAGTTTCAACAGATAATAGCCGCCCATTTGCTCAATTTCATAACGATCGTAATTATGAGGAAGTTGCTGTGGAAGTGGACCAATCTGATGTGATAGATCCTGTGTGGAATATCCTGCCTCAAGATCAGCTCAATAGTAAGTTTTGCATTGATGCTATCAGGGAATTGCAAAAAAAGTCAGGGACTTAAAAATAAAGAAACTACCAAAGGACAATTTTGCTGACAGCTGAGTGCTTCTGTGATACCTAAGGGTGGAGGATTTTTTTCTAAGCAAAATTTACTACGATGTCAACCACCAAATCCTCATTCCTCAAAAATTTCCTCACCTCACAAGAAAGTGAAAAGTATGCGTTGAGCCTAAAAATTTAAAAAATCTATGATTTCTGTACTTCCTCATTTTTGCCAGGAGAAATTAAAGCAGAGCTTTAATTGGAAACTTTCCTCTTGCTGTTGGTGAGCCAGGGCTAGAGCAGTTTCTAATTCGTTGCTACAAAGTATGTATGTATTTGAGCTTTATTTTATGAAGTGCAGATGGACAGTAGAACTAGAATCAGCCTCCTAACTGCATTACTTTTTTCACAAGCCCTCCTCATATTTTATGTTTTTACCTAACCTATGATATGAACCTACCTATGAATCTCTTCTAACCTAACCTAACCTAACCTGCTCCTCAAACCTAACCTAACCTCAATCATATAAACCTATTTCAGCAGACATACCTCCAGAACTAACCAATGTTGAAAAATCTGTGCTGGACATAATTGTTAACGAAGACAGCCAGGATCCTCAATATATATATAAAATATTGGACAGGTCATCTCAGGTAACAAAAAATAATTCCACTCCACTCCACTCCACTCCACTCTGCT